TCGTCGTCGTCGTCGTCGTCGTCGTCGTCGTCGTCGTCGTCGTCGTCTTCGTCGTCGTCGTCGTCGTCGTCGTCGTCGTCGTCGTCACCCTTCAGGGTCGGCGGTGCAGGCCGTAAGGCCTTCACACCAGTCCTGCTCAGTCCCCTCCTCCCCTCCTCCCCCTCCCTGTCGGCTGGAGGATCCGGCCCGCGGGCGGCCGGAGCTTGCGCGGCGGTCGGCCTCGTCCAGGAGACGAGCAGACGGTGCTCTCGGTGTCGCCGCAGCTCGCGCGCACGGCAGCGGTGCTCTGTGCGGGGCGTCCCTCGCCGAAGGGCTCGCCTTCGAGGGGCTCACAGGCCAACATCGGACGGGGCCAGGGCGAGGATCAATCCGTTCCGGAGCGTTCCGGAACGCTCTCAGAGTGCTCTGGAATGCTCTGAGAAGGCCGCGATGCCCGGTACATTTTCTGGAGCCGCCGGATCTCCGAGCTTCTCGATGTATCCGTGCCCGAAGAGATGTTCTTCTTTGCCTCGTCTTACATCAGCATGTGTACACGTTCGCGGTGCATCCTCGCCGCTGCCTGGCTGCTGCCACGGCCCCGCTGCCACTGCTGGCCGCACCGGCCCACTCGACGTGGAAGTCTACTGCGCTTGAGTGCCCTTCTCCTGTCCTCCGCGCGGCAGCCCTCTGCCCCTTGTTCCCCCTCCTGCACGCCGGCCAAGTCGCCTTTCGGTCGCCCCGCCACCCGCTGCAGCAGCTTCTGTGCCTCGCCGGTGACGAAAAGTGTGCACGTGCGCCGTCGGCCTCCGCTGGCCCGCCTCCGAGGGCGGTTATCACTACCGGCACCAGCGGGGCCTAGGGCGGTGCTTCTGCTCGCTCTCAATGGGCGAGGAGGTGGCCCCTGTGCAGGCCGGCGGAGGCGCGGCGGAGGGAAGGCGTTGGCGGCCGCGCCAGCGGACGGCGGGCGGGAGCTGGCGTGGCGCCAACATCGTAGAACGGGTTTCGTTCGGAAAACAACGTTTCGGTAGCAAAGCATGGGAGCCTTGTGCGCCCTCGCAATTTTGGCTTTAGTGTCGACTCGCACCGATTAGCTTCTGGGGGTCGATGAGATAGCGCCGACTTAGCGTCGGCTAGCGTCGATTAGCGTCGATTTAGCGTCGACTAGCGTCGACTAGCGTCGATTCGCAAGAACCGACAAGATGGTATGGGAGGTTCCCATGAGTTGCCACCGAAGGATGGGCTCGGATGGTCCTGGAGAATTCCGTTCCGGATTTCGAAGTGAATTTTTCGCGTGGACTTTTGTGGCCATGGATGGGGACTACAAAAAATCCGCGTGAAATTCATTTTGTTTTTCGCTCGCCGTTTCGGGGCCTCATGGACATAGATCCACGGAAGAATCCGCACAGCACGTCTGCGGTCGGTGCAGTTAGAGAGGCGTGGACAAAGGATGGGCGGCTGGCGGAAGCTGGCGTAGGCAAAGGGTGTTTGGAGTTCTCGATGGCTTAAATTCGACCAGCAAACAAACCACACTACCCCACCTACGGCCCTCCATGTTGCGCTGCGGCCCATCGGGGGCTGTAGCGTATACTGCGCATACAAACACGCCAGATTTCCTGGTATACGTTAAGCCCCACGGGGCCGTAGGTGGGGTGGTGTCGTTCGCGTTCTGGTCCATACGTGCCCACGAATCGCGTCGCCCGTGTGCCTGCGTCTCCTGGGACCCCGATTTGGCAAGACGTTAGGTCGTGCCGAGACGACCGTTTCGGTCGAGTTTTTTGCCATGAGACCCACCACGTAATTTCCAGCGACACAACGGAGTAGTGAGCTCGAAAGGTAAGCAGAGGTGGACGGCCGGCAGAAGCTAGCGTAGACAAGGGCGGACCCCCTCCAAACCCAACAAAGGTCAGCGCCAGGATACCCTAGGTCTTCGGAGTCAGTAGTATGGCGCTGCGGGGAGTTGGCAGGAATGGCCGGAGGGTTTGCGGGAGGTTGGCGGGAATGGCTGGAGTTGGCGTTGCGGGGGGTTGGTGCTGCTGGAGTGGAGGGAGGTGGTGTCTGCCAATATTGTGGCTGGGGTGGCGCCATTCAGCCTGCCGCGCACTGTGACCCGAATTAGCAGGGGCAAACTTACCTTCCCCCCTTACCCCCAATCCCCTTTTCAATTTTTCCTCGGAAGCCTTGGAGGCCTAGACGTTGCCATCAACACAAATGTTGGGATCGCCTTCGCCAGAGCACTAATGTTCATCGGTTTTATTGCTGGTGCTGTACCATCTAGATCATTGAGAGGACCGTCTTCCCTCGGTGGAGGTGCCCGCCGATGTTTGTGTTGGTGTCAACCTCAAGGCCTCCGACCCCAGCTGCCAAAGTTCCCATGCACGGCGCCGACGCACCCGCGCGAGATCCCCCGCAGTCGATCGCCGCCGTGCGATGCCGGCCGAGGCCTGTGGGCCTCAAGCACGAGGTGCTGGCGGCCTTTCGGCGCACCGTGCGCGACTCCTCGCTCGACCTGGTGGTCTCCTCCTCCGCGCTGCAGAGCGCGTGGATGCTGGCCATGGCAGGAGCACCCCTCAGTGCCTGCGGGTACTGGGTGCTGGGAGGGCGCGCCAAGGGAGGAGAGCGGGCAGTCGGCGCGAGCGGGGCCGCCGACGGACAGTACAGGGACGGACACACGCACACGCACACGTACACTCACACACGCACACACACACATGCACGCGCACACGCACACGCACACGCACGTGCACACGCACGCACAAATACCCACACACCCACCCCAACACGCACGCGCACACCCACACGCGAACCCACACCCACACCCACACCCACACGCACACGCACACGCACACGCACGCGCAGACCCACACCCACACCCCAACCCACATCCACACGGACCCGCGCCCGCACCCGCACACGCACACGCATACGCACAAGCATACGCACACGCACATGCCACATGCACACGCACACGCACTCGCACACGCACACGCGCACGCGCACACGCACACGCACGCGCACGCACACACACACACAGCACACCACACACACACACACACCCACACACCCACACAACACACCCAACCACCCACACACACACCACACGCGCACACGCACACCGCACACGCACACGCGCACGCGCACGCGCACACGCACACGCACACGCACACGCACACAACGCACACACGCACACACGCACACACGCACACACGCACACACGACACACGCACACACGCACACCACGCACACCACGCCACACGCACACACGCACAACGCACACCACGCACACACGCACACGCACACGCACGCGCACGCGCAACGCGCACGCGCACGCGCACGCGCGCGCGCACGCGGCACACGCACACGCACACGCACAGCACACGCACACACGCACACCACACACACACACCCACACGCACACGCAACACGCATACACGCACACGCACACGCACGCGCACACGCACACGCCCACGCACACGCACGCGCACGCGCACGCGCACGCGCACACGCACTCGCACGCGCGCGCGCACGTGCACGTACATTCGCACACGCACGCGCACGCGCATGCGCACGCGCACGCGCACGCTCACTCGAACGCGCACACGCACGCGCACGCGGACGCGCACGCGCCCGCGCCCGCGCACGCGCACGCACACGCACGCTCACACGCACACGCACGCGCACGCGCACGCGCACGCGCATCCGCGCATCCGCCCTCTTGGACGCGGACTCGCCCGCGACCGCGCCTGCGCCCGCGCACACGTACACGCACGCGCACACGCACACGCACACGCACACGCACACGCACACGCAAACGCAAGTGCACATGCACGTGCATACACACACGCACACGCACGTGCATACCCACACGCACACGCACATGCACACGCACACGCACACACACACGCACGCGCACGCGCACACGCACGCGCATCCGCACACACACATGCACACGCTCACGCACACGCACACGCACACGCACACGCACACGCATACGCACATGCACGCGCACGCGCACACGCACACGCACACGCACACGCACACGCGCACCCACACGCACCCGCACACGCACACCCAGACGCACACGCACACGCACACGCACGCGCACACCCACGCGCACACGCACACGCACGCGCACACGCACATGCACACGCACACGCACACGCACGCGCACTTTTTTGATTCGCGGGTCGAGAGCGCACCTCTTCCGGTCGAAACGCACGCGCACACGCACAGGCGCACGCGCACGCACACGCTTTTTGCGTCGGCGGCTGGGCAGAGGGCGACTGCTCCAGCGGAACGTCAACAGGGGACACGCTGTATACAAATTAGAGCCGCAATGCGCGGAAGGGGGAGGAGGAGCCCCGGCGCGACAGGAAGAGAGGAAGCCGGGCCACTCGGATCTGCCGGCTGCGGCGGGGAGAGCGCCGAGGGGGGGGGCAGTGTCGGGGCAAGGCTGCACTGAGCTGCTGAAGCTGGGGGTGGGGGGCAGCCTGGAGCTGCAGCTGGTGGTGGGAAGTAAGACGTGTCAGACCCCAACCCAGTGGACCGAGCACAGTCCAGGGATGGGCCAGTGCGGCGAGACCTGCGGGCCTACAAGGCGCGTGCGAAATGCGGAAGGCGATTGCCATGACTGCTCAGCCCCAGCTGCGGGCACCGCGCCGCAAGCAGGCACGAGGGCCGGTACTGAGCAGCGCTGAGCTGGCAGACTGGCAGGGAAGGAGGAGTGTGTCCTGTGTGCGATCGGGCAGACGAAGGAGACGCATTTAAGTCAGAAGCGTCTGTCTTAGGATCCTCGGCAGACCCCAGGCCGGCGACGACGCAGCCTGCGCGTTGGGCAGGCCCGGGAGTATTCTGGCTCCCCGCATTCGTCCAGCGCGAGCTCTGAGCATGACATATGGAAGCCAGAGGTGGGTTTAGGGTCTGTCCAGCTGGCCTTCCAATGGCCCCCCGACGCCCCGATTGGTAGGCAACGCCTGAGTTGCAGGTATACTGATTAGTAGATGAGACGTGATTGGTAAGGGTGCCGTGAGGAGCACGCGCTCTTCGTGCGTGACGTCGCCCTTCTCGCGGGCGCTCCCGTTCCTCCCGACATCATTGACCCCCGCCTCCTGACCGTAGCCGCCCTGCGTGCCTTCGACGTTCCTCCTGACCTCCGCCGCCTCCTGCTCCTTCGCCTCCTCTGCCTCCCTCGCAGTCTCCTCTACCTCCACGCTGAAGTCCCCGCCGTCCATCGCTGCCGCTGCAACATCGCTGCCAACCTTGAACGCATTCCCGTCGGCGCCCGACGCGTCCGCGTTCGTGCTGCGTGGGGGTTGGCGGGGATTGGCGGGGCCCTGCGCGTCCGGGTCGCCCTCGAGCGCTCGTGGCGGGGACGCGGGGTAGAGCGTCCGATCGCTCCGGGCGGAGTCGGTCAATTCGTCCTTCCGGACCTCCGCCTCCTCGTGGACCTCCTCGAAGACCTCCCTGGCGACCTCCTCCTTCACCTCCGCCTCCCCGAAGACCTCCTCGAACGTCTCCTCGACGACCTCCTTGACGACGGTCGCCCCCGCCTCCTCCGCTCCGCCTCCTTCTCGTCGCCCTCCGTGCCGTCGAAGTCCATCCCGACCTCCGCCACCTCCTGCTCCGCGGCGACGTCCCCGCCTCCCGCCGCCTCCACCGCTATCTCGCCCTCAACCTCAAACGCCTTCTCGTCGGCGCCCGACGCGTTCGCGACCGTCTTGTGTTGAGCATCGGTATCGGTGTGTGGTTCAGGGTTGTCCTGCGCGCTCAGCTCGTTCTCGGGCGCTCGCGGCAGGGGTCCATCCTCGACGGCCCCTTCGGAGATGTCCTCGGACATTTCCTCGACGGTCTCTTCCGCCACCTCCTCGGCGGTCTCTTCCGTGACCTCCTCCATCTCCTCCATTTCGCAGTCGTTGATGCCCTCCGCGCCGTCGATCGTCTCCGCCCCAACTTCCAGGCCCGCCGCGTCGTCGTTGATCGAGCCGTTCGCCGTCAAACCCGCGAACGTCGACAAGGCTCCAGCGGTCGGAAGGGCGCGCCCCGTGGTCGCCAGCATGCTCGCGCGCCCTGCCGCAGCGCGGTCCGGCGCCGCCGGTCGGGGCATTCCCGCCTATCCTCGGCTGGGGGCCCCGCGGCGTCCCAGATGTTCTCCAGATCTGGCGCGCCCAGCCCGCTTTCGCGCGCACTGAGCGGGGATCCAGCGGCGTCTCCCGCGCCAGCCAGCGGCTGGGAAGCGGCTGCAGCCGCGGCGCCAGCCGGGGCCGCAGCAGCGTCAGCCACGGCGGCCGCCGCCGCGCCAGCGGCGGCAGCGGCGGCGGGAGACGAGGCGGCGGCAATTTCTGCGTCGCAGCCGCGGCCGGCAGCCTCGATGGCCTCGGCAGCCGCAGAGGCCGCTAGCCGCAGCAACGCCGCAGGCAGCTGCGGCCATGCCGCCCGCTAGAGGCTCGCGGGTCGAGCCGGAGCCAAGCGGCGCCGGCGAGCCGATCGAGGGCCCCTCGCGCGGCGGCGCCGCCGTCGAGGCCAGCGGCAGAGAGCCCCCGCGGCTGGGGCCGCGCCCGCAGCGGCGGCCTCGCCAACGGGAGGCCACGCGCGGCCACCGCGAGCGGCCGGCGATCGGGAGGCCGACGAGGCTGGAGGCGGCGCCAGCCCCGGAGGCGGCGCGCCGCGCGCCGCGGCGGCGCGACGCCGCTGGCGACTGGCCGCGGGGGCTTCTCAGTGCAGGGCGGGCCTGGAGGCCGCGGGCGCCATGGCGCGGCGGCGCGGGAAGAAGGGCGGGGGAGGCCCCGTCCCCGCTCCCGCAGTCGGAAGCCAGAGGCCAGGGCAACCCCCGGGCCGAAGGAGTACGGACACGCACGCACACGTGCACGCAAACGCACGCGCGCGCGTACAAGCACACACGCGCACGCGCGCACGCACACGCACGCGCACGCGGACGCACACACGCACACGCACGCGCACGCGCGCACGCGCGCGCGCACGCAGACGCAGACGCACCCGCGCCTGCGCCCGCGCCCCGCGCGCTCACGCGCGCGCGCGCGCCCGCGCGACCGCGCGACGGGCGATCACGCGCCCGCGCGCCCA